GGTCCCCAACTCTTGTGGCACCAGGGACTGGTGCTCCTATGAGAATGTGATGCCTGACGATTTGAGGCAGAGCTGAGGCAGTGATGCTAGCGCTGGGGAGTGGCTGTGAATACAGATGAAGAAGCTTCACTGGCTTGCCCACCACTCTCCTCCTGTTGTGTGGCCTGGTTCCTAACAGGCCACAGACTGGTACCGGTCCGCTGCCTGGGGGTTGGGGACCCTTCGGTAAACCTTTCCTCGCTCTAACCCCAGCACAGAGGTCAGCAGCGGGCCTGCTCCCATGAGTAAGGAAATCGACAAAGTAAGGAAATAGTCAATTGCAAAGGTACTTCAAAACTTGGAGCTTTTAATTCCAATGACTGCCTATTTATTAGAATCAGTGATGTAAAGATTTTATGAAATTAATTAGGACATATCCTGAAGCTTTTAAGTAATTTTCCAGCACACCATGTACTAGACCAAAAGTTTTCACATTGTTTTTCCCGCTAACATGTGCATGGTAGGTAGGTGGCACAGCCTGTATTTCACTCCTGGCATACTGACCACACGGCCCTTCAAGAAGCTGTTGAAATGTTAATGAGAGTGACCTTATTAGAGATAGAATCTTGAATCTGTTCTAATATCCAAAGCATCAATTGTATCCAGTCTTCAGAATGTCCAAATTAGTGACAAAATACTTGCAATGTATTTCTCAGTTGTCAGGACACTCCATTTGAGAACGGCCTCAGACAGTGGTACTTTCTGATATTACAGTCCAGAGCTTTTGGACACAAACATTGGGACTTAAAGATGCGGCCCCTGTGGAGCAGCGCACAGCGGCCCTGCTCACAAGACTAGCCCCGTGGTCCACAGCCACGGAGATGTTCTTCCTGGTCAGGGGAAAGAGGGAAGGCAAGACCACAGGGAAGAGATCCCAGAGTTTGGAAGATGCTTCAGAGTAAACCCGAGAGGTTGGGTGGGACTCTAGTTCCCAGCGTGCACATCTTCACCAAACTTTGGGGGTGTAGAGTAGGGGGATGGTTTTATGTCAGTAGCTGTGATTGTAATCATAGAAT